GGCGACAGAGTGAGACTCCAACTCAAAAAAAAACAAACAAAAAAAAAAAAGGGTAAGAATTTCAGAATGAACATGGGGAAAGAGCTAAGTCATAAAAGAGAGATTTTTCGGTAAGTCAGTCTTCATAGTTCCTTTTATAATGTATTGTATAGTTCACTGGCTATGCCCCTTTCCCACCATGAAGGACCTCACCAACCTAATGGGAAATATTCATTACATGCCCAATTCCCTCAGGGAACCAGGTGAGAGTCCCCAGATAGAGTCCTTCCTCTATGGGGGCCTACAGCCCTCACTGGGCAACTAGATTAAGTTCCTAAAAAAACTGACCAGGCAGAAGTCAACTCTAGTTAGTCTGAGCCAGCCTGTGTAGACAGCATTATATACTACTGATGCACGTGGCTGTCATTCATTGACATTCAAAGGGGAATATAACACAGGTTTTGGCCTTAAGGAGGCCAGTCTAGTAGCACATAAACTTAGCAAGAGTAAAGAAAGAGCACACAGAACATCACCTTTGTTTGAGGATTATCAAGGAAGTCATCTCAGAGGAGGTGCTTAAGATGGGCCCTAAAGGATAGAGGTTTGCTAGTGAGAGACGTGGGGAAACACATTTCCAGCAGAGGGAGAAGCATTTGGAAGGACTGAGCAGAGGGAGAAGCATTTGGAAGGTGCTAGTGGGGTAAGAGAGTATGTAAGGAGGCAAGCTGTGGGATATGGCTTCATGGCAGAGGCCAGATTTGAACTATCTTACTGGAAAGGAGGAGTTATTGAGAGGTTTCATAAGGATGTAGTACAACTGAGTTTGGGTTTAGCAAAACCCCTCTGGGGTGTTATGGAGGATGAACTGAAAATCAGCAACATTAGGGACAAGAATGCTACAGTGGATGCTGTGATCTGCCATCTGGATTCTCCTTCAGAGAACTGAGGCACTCGTTCCTTCAGCTGCTGGAAGAGTTGGTGGCTGGTGGCTCTCAAGTGAGGTCTATTCTGGGAACTGCCTTGGTCAAAGTTTACACCACCCTGGGGTGGGGAGGGTGGTGGGAGGAGTTGAAGATGGGGGTATGGAGGGTGGTGGTTGAGGAGAGTGGGAATGTGTTGGTTTCAGGCCCCTTCCCAGCTCCTTGCATTAAGCTGGGACAATGGTAAAGGGTCACCCAATCTGAGAGCAACCTGTAGGACTGGTTGAGGCGATTCTTGCAAGCACATTGCAGTTCCACTCCTCCCTCTGCCCACTGTACTTCCCCCGTTCCTTCCACTGGGGTTCTTCCGCATAGTACTCTCCAACAATCTTCCTGCATGCAAAAAGTCTGTTTCCAGAAAATGTGACCTATGATAGGAGTCAGTAAGAAAACCACTGTAATGAGGACCCAAAATTAGACAATGGCAGTTGAGGACAGAGAAAAGCTTCTTGGAAGGTGGAATCAAGAGGACTTACTGGCAACTTGGCTAAGCCAGAGTTGAGAACATCTCCCAGGTTTCTGACTGGATGGCATTATTAGGGCCAACAGGAAATTCAGATTAAAAAAATGAATTTATGAGGACAGTTATCACTTCTACGCGGCACAATTTTGCATTGGATATTCTTGCCGGACATTCTTCTAGAGATCTCCAATAGGTGGTTGACGAGCAGACAGGAGGATATATGGGGTCTGGAGCTCAGGGGAGAGGTCTGGGCTAGAAATACAGACTTGGAAGCCCTTGGGGGTCATAATTTATGGTAAATAATACCAACACATACCTATGGAAAAGCAAATAACTTTTTTGCAGCTTTGACTTATTTATCCTCCAAAAGTCAGAGCTAAAGGATATCACAAAGAGATACTCATTTTCCACCTAACCAGGATGTATGTTTGAATGACTTCAATCTGGTCCTTGGCACTTGGCAGAACTGAGTCTGCTGAAGCCATCCTGGAGCCAGCATTTCCAAATGGTGTCAGAGTAATAATGCTCCTTCAAACAACATTCCTTGAAAAGATGGTTTGCAGATCAAGGACATTTAGAAAAATCTATTCTAGATCACCTCTTCTTCAAAATTCATAATATGCGTGATCACACATGATTCTATTTCCCAAATTCATTGAACCCCGGAACCCTTTCTGGTAGGGACTGTGGATTAATGTCTCATGCAATACTACTGTTGGAAAAACACAGCTTGGAAG